AGACCTAGCTCCACAGCATCAGTTACCATGGAGACCTAGCTCCACAGCATCAGTTACCATGGAGATCCAGCTCCACAGCATTGGCTGCCATGGAGATCCAGCAGGTTAAACCTTCGTGACACTAAAAACTCCGACTGTGGGCTCAGCGTAGCTGCTGACCCACTGGTCTCTGCTGGTCGTGCAGCCCTCAGGTCTCTGAGATGTTTGCGATGGTTTTACGTGCACTCGGACACTAAAGCTGCATTCACTGACACTTTGATATCGGATTCTTAGCGGCCCCTTCTTCTCTGGCGTCAGGGTGCTGGAGTTTCAGCGAAACCTGCCGCGCACTGTGAGGAGTTAAGTACGTGTTTCCCAGAACAAGGACAGCAGCCCAATGTGTCGGCATTTAACGAAGGAAGGATTCGGAGGTACAAGCTCGAGCACAAAGCAGCTGAAGGAGCGGGCCAGAGGACACAGCGAGGAAACTTACAGCGGCATGTTTCTATGAATTATAGACTCGAAGACACGTCAGGTCAGAACCCGAGATGAGTTCTGGACGAGAGGTGGAATATCTTTTAAACTACAGCTTCAGGCCTCTGGATTATTCATTCCATCCTGACCTGGATAAAAGAGACAATCTGTCGCTGTGGCACCAACAGACCAGCAGCTAATTACAACCAGCAGAGGAATTAAAACGTGTAGTAATCTGGAGTAAACGGGGGTCAACGTGAACATACAGTAAATATATGCTTATGCAAGCTTCTGGACTAGTGATGAAGAAGAACCGTTTAAGAACTCAGAGTCAGGTACTTCTTTGAAATCATATCTTAAAACCCGCTTTTACCGACTTGCCTTTAAGTGAACTTTACTTTCAGCTTTAGCTAGTTTTAGTCTTCTATTCTCTATTTATGTCCTCCTTACCGGTTTATTTATGTTCTCTCCTGCTTTATGTGAATTGTAGCTGCGTAGCTCTTTGACGTGATGTTTTCTTTAATTTCTAACTTTTAATTTTTAATCTTATTCTTCAGGTTTTAAACTGCCTCGTTCCTTTGTTTGATCCTAATCTAGCTGATTATTCATTGAACCTATTACGATAATTTCTGCTCTTAACGGTGCCAAATAAATAAAGTTATTCTTATTATTATTACAGTAATAGGAGGAGGAGGAGGAGCTGAACAGGTTTTACCGAGGAGGCACATATTTGAATAAAACACCAGCAGACACACAGATCTGACAGGTTTTCCTCCAGAGCTGCAGGAAGGCGTTTGCTGTCGGACTGTTTGCTCTTCACTGTCTGAGGAAACATTTTTATGCTGCTATTTGGACCTGAGCTTTAATTTTCTGCTCAGATTAATGCGCATGTTTCCAGCTGGCTGCAGCCTGATTAAGACGTTGCAGCATTTCATCCAGCACGGAGATGGACAAGTGTGTGTGTGTGTGTGTGGGTGTGAGAGAGTGTGTGTGTGAGAGTGTGTGTGTGTGTGTGTGCGCGTGCTGCAGCGTCCGGGGAATAAGGCCATACATCACGGTGAAGCCACGGCTGGATTTACATGCAGAGCATCACTCGGCTGACTTCCTGCAACTCCATCCAGTAAAACGCAAGCTGTTACAGAGACGCAGCAGTTTGTGTTTCTTTTTTTATTACTCGCGTTTAGAAAAGATCCGAATGACGCTGTGATGGGAGAGTGTCAGCGTGGTTGGAGGCTGAAGGCTGACGCAGGCGTGCATCATCAGAAGTTTATTACACCAGAACAACACTGAGCAGAAACACCACATCCTGATGCTGTGAAAGCTGCCGAAGCACCAGAACAACACCCCTAACCGAGCATCTTTTAACTCTTTTTATTATGAGTACAGTACGTGACAGAAAACATAAAACGTGAGGAGAAAATGTGACGGCAGCACGACTTTTGCACGTCATGTTCTGTGATTTCTGTATTAATGTCATGCTGTGTGTGGAGATGTTTTATCACATGTGAGAACACAACTAGCAGATAGCAAGAGTCAAGACTCAAGGAATTTATTGGTCACAGACACAGTTATACACAGTGAAATGTACTGTGTACCTGTTCTAGAGCAACTAGTACAAAGACACAAAATGACCCCGAAGACGTGCAAAATAACTGTAACAAGACATAAAATGGCCACAAAGAGATGCAAAAATGATTCTGAAGAGATGCAAACTGACTATAATAAGACACAAAATGACCAGAGAGGGATGTAAAATAACTAAAAACAACACTTAATGACCACGACGAAGTGCAAAATCAGTGTAAAGAGATGCACAACCGCTGTAAAAAGACATCTTGACCACAAAGGGATGCAAAACGACTACGAAGAGATGCAAACCAACTGGAATAAGACACAAAATCACCAGGAAGGGATGCAAAATGACCACAAAGACACAAGTTGAAGACGAAGGGATGCAAACCGAATACAAAGACATGCAAAATAACTGTAACAAGACATAAAATGGCCACAAGGAGATGCTAAATAGCCACAAAGACACATAAAATGACCACAGAGGGACGTAAAATAACTGTAAAGACACATAGATTGACCACAAAGGGATGCAAAACGACAACGAAGAGATGCAAACTGACTGTAAACAAACACAAAATCAGCAGGAAGGGATGCAAAATAACCACAAAGACACAAATTGAAGACGAAGGGATGCAAACCGAATACAAAGACATGCAAAATAACTGTAACAAGACATAAACTGGCCACAAGGAGATGCTAAATAATCACAAAGAGACACAAAATCACCAGGAAGGGATGCAAAATAACCACAAAGACACACAAAATGACCCCAAACAGATGTACAACAACTGTAAGGAGACGTGCAGACGAAGCTGGTTTTAATGTTCTGGCTGATACTTTCCATCTTAAGCAAATGAGCGGAAGAATTCTGGCTTCCTCCAAATCCAGCGTCCAAAGCAGACAGCAGAGCTGCAGTGAGGCGCTCCCAGTGCAGGAGTGACTTTCACACCTCTTTCACACACCTTCAGCCTCCTCCCCCTCCTCCCCCCGGCGGTGATGGAGCGAGGCTTTAGCTCCCGTCTGGATGCATTAAGGTGACGCCTCCTCTGAGGACGAGCTGGAGATGATGAATGGACCCACTCGTGATCACACAGCTCGTTAGTCAGGCGACACCAGAGCAGCTCCGTTCAACGTGTGTCTTCATTTGTGTTCAGGCACACGTATGACTCAGAGTCACGTTCTAGCGAGAACATCGTTGGACTGTTTGTGTCGCAACACAGTCAGATACGTTTGGTCTGGTTCTGATTCTGCAGCACCGTTATCTACTGACCAGAGTTCTACCTTCAGACTGTGAATGTTCCAGAGTTCCAGGTCCTTGAAGTCCACAGAGGAGGGTCCAGATTTATCACCTTAATGGACTTTTCCCATCATTTCTGAGCCTCAGAACTTCATCAGTACAGCAGATAGACACATGACATTTAGGAGGAAGAACACATCTGGGTTCTGCTAGAACCTGACACCAGATCAGTTCTACATCCATCCAGGTGTCTCAGTCTGAACACTGGACCTGGTTCTGTTCATGTCCTCTGTCAGCAGCTGGTAGCATCAGTATTATGGGATGTGTCTGTCTGCTGTACTGGTGAAGTTCTGAGGCTCAGAAATGATGGAAGAAGTCCATTAGAGTGATCAACCTGGACCCTCCTCTGTGGAGTTCTGGAGTATTCTCAGCGTGAAGGTGGACCTCTGTGTGGCCTTATCCTGTCTGCTGAAGTCATTCCACATTAAAACCAGCTGATTCTGAGGAGGTGGGGGCAGTGGTTCAGTCTGGGTCGGATTTATCCGGGCTGACGGCGACGTGTCTCTCGTGGTTCCAGGTGACATCCGTAACGACCTGTACCTGACCCTGGAGCGAGGAGACTTTGAGCGAGGAGGGAAGAGCGTTCAGAAGAACATCGAGGTGACCGTCTACGTGCTCTACGCCGACGGAGAAATTCTAAAGGTAGGAAAGTGTTTGTTTTGGTTGTTGTTTTGCCGCCGCTCTGTGGGCCCACCACCTCCCGCTGACGGTGTCATGGTCTGTAGTCTGGAGTGGAGGCAGCTGGTGAGCCAACCTGAACCACACAGTGTCAGAGAACACCAGACATGGTCTGTTAGACAGCCACAGCAGCTTGTGCAGCCTGGTTGTGTTGGGATGTAACCACGATGTAAACTCTGCTGTGGGTCCAACGCTCAGGGCGGGTCGGCTCCCGTCGCTGAGCTGCCCGGTGTTCATCGCTTCAGTCATCTGTTACACATTCTGTTTGTTTGTTTTGGAGGTTTTTGTTGTATTTTTTGAGGACATCAGAAACTGATTTCAACCATTTTATTACAAACCATGGAGGAGAACATACATTATGTTTTTCCTTAAGCCTCGTAGCTCCAGCAGCAGGGTCTGGCTGTTTTTTACTCATAGTTTTCTTCACTGAGGTTCACGTTTCAGCATAAAGTCCTGCAGCTCTGTGGAACCAGAACCACATGAAGAAGGACAGAGAACTCAGAGACGTCTGCTGTCAGTCAGGATAGAATAATTTCAATAGAATTCCTTTAATAAAATTCAGCAGTAATGCTCCCAGTGCATGTAAACAATCACAGTTTTTAAAAAGTAGAGTAAGAAATATACAAATGTAAAATGTCAAGTAGGAAAAAATAGTGCATGCAAGTGTATATATGATAACAGTGGGGTAGCTTAGTATGGAAAACAACAACAAAAAGCAAATATTGTATCTTTACATAAATACTATATATTATTATTGCCGCCCCCC